GCGGCTACCGTCTGGTACCTCTCATGGGTGTGTCCTAGCTCTCTTAGAGCAGCTATCCGCTCCATCAAGGACTTGGGCTTGGGGGTAAAGAGAGCCCAACTCATGCCTAGGTCCGGAAGGAGGGAACTAAGGATCTTATCATCCACTAACTGACCCTCGTAGCCAGTCTTCCACATCAGCTGAATAATGCTATTCAGGAAGGAGTCTATTCCTCCCTTAGCTGTGTGGGTAAGGGTGTTCCATTGGGCTACCGCATCATCCCTAGAGATGGCTTCACCAAAGGCTGCTCTGAGAGCATCCACAAAGGAATCCCAGCGCTTCCATCTCTCATCCAACACCACAGGCATCCCAGCTACCCGGTTGGCAGAAGCTTGGTCGATAGAGTTGTGGTAAGCTTCATACCACTTGACCGGAGCATCTCCTTCCATCAGGTTGCCAGCATATCGGATCCTGACCTCTTCAGAGGTAAAGAACTGGCCCTCAATGGAGAAGACGTTCTCACATTGCCGGATGAAGGTCTCCACGTTGTCTGCTTTGCCATTGAACTTGGCCGGAGGGGGTGCTTTGGGTTCTCGGGCCCTAGAGGCAGCGGAGGGGTGTGAGGGGGCCGGAGGTCTCATGAACTGTGCCATGGAGGTCAGGAGTTCTTTCTGTTGCCTCTCCAACTTCTTCCTGAGGTACCTTCGCCATCCTCTCCTGTCACCATCCTCAGGCTCCGAGTCTGAACTGTCTGAGTCCCCTCCTGGGTTGGGAGCGCCGCCAACTGGGGGGACAATTCCATCTCCTCCACCATTACCCGCTGGTTCTGGGTTCTGGTTTTCTCCACCAGGGTTTCCTTCTGGCTGGAGGTTCCTCCTAGGTGACTCCGGGGGTGGTGAGCCTCTGTGGGATTCTGGGGATAACCCCTGGCGAACCCAGGCTGGAGGGAGCCCGGAGGGACCACTCCTGACCGGTGTCTGGGAGTAGTAATCGTCGTCTCCTATAGGTTGTCGGGGGGGCCTTGCTAGGCCGCCTGCCAGCGGGCTCGATGGGGCTCTCTGAGGAGGTAAAGGTGAGCCTCCAATGGCCGCTGGCATCATCAGGGGAAGTGTCCTCTGCCTGATAGACCTGACTGGAAACGCTGCAAAGGGGTTCACCCTTTGGTGGAAGGTTCTCAGGGCCGCTCTGGATGAGGCCCTGGAGTTTTGCGGAGGTGCGGGATTGGGGACAGGTGCTGGTGTAGGCATCCTGGCGATGGAGAGCCTTCCTTCATTAATGGCTCTCTGGATGTCTTCCAGGAAGTTAGGGGGCATCGCCGGGTTTGTCCATTCAATGTCCTCCATCTCATCCGCTCCTAAGTCATCTCTCTGAGCATAACTCTGGAGTTGTGCCTGGACTGAGGAGACTTGTTCTTGCATATAGCCGAAGGCGTTCCGGAGCAGGACTGCCTCAGCTTCTTGTCTTTCTTGCACCAAGGCTAGCGCATTGCCGGCCTTGATGACTTCCTGTTGCAGGCTGTGCTTCAGGTAGCGCTGCAATTCCGCAAAGAAGTCCTGTAGGGTGACTTCGTCGGTATCTTGCCAGGTGGGCTCATATCCGGGGATGTAGGACTGGAGCGCCGTCCTGGGCTTGTGGATCAACTGTGTCTGTCCCTCTTGGAATTCTAAAGCTGCCGGTTGCCATTCAATCTGAAGAGGCGCTTGGGGAGCCGGGAGGGCGGACATGTTGTGAGAGGAAAGAATAATCTGAAGGTGATTTGAGCACTAAAGATTATCTGTAACGGGGACAGTCTTTCCACGTATCGCTAGAATCCGATAGAAAGATGTGGCCGTGCAAGATAGAAATCAGGTGCAGATTTATTCAAAGATACTATCGCTAGAACTCAATAATCTTTAAGGGCTCTGCTACCGATAATGGTCTACTCGAAGATGAGGATCAGGTCAGTTGGGCGGGAATGATCCTGAGTACTTATACTCCAAAGGATTCTATTCTCTGCTCCTACTTCCTTACTAAGTTCCGGTGCTGCCTCCTAGTGGAAGGGAAGCAATACCATCGCTACCCCGCTTCTCTCTAAGCGTCAGCGAGTGCTTCCGATTCCGAAGGCAACCACCCTTAGTCAAAGCCTTTGTAACACCTGCAGCCTTTGTTGCCACACAACTAGGGGCCTGCATGAATGAGCTGCCGCTCAGGTGTAAGCTTAATCATTGCTGTAGAGCTTCCGCTTATTGTAGACTTCCCAGGCATAGTCTCTTCCACTGCTGGCGGACTTCCAATGCTCAGAGGATGTGGAGGATCGCTGAGCACTCAGAGCTTCACTCTGGCTAGCCTTCTAATCATTGGCGAGGCACAGACTCGTCAGTCATTGCTCCCATGAGTAGATCCTCTTCCTAGCGCTCAGAATGTAGTTACTCTGACAGTTGGTAGCTAACCACACTGCCGGTACTTGCATGTCACTGTGCAACTGGCTTCTAACAATAACTCTCAGCATGTAACCGGGCCCGGTGTGTACTCATACACCAGACAGTTGAAATGGCTCCGTTACACCTTGGCACTATAGTCCCTACGTCCATCGACCCCCGTTACAGCTTTAGGTAGCGCTGCGATTCTTCAAAGAAGTCCTGTAAGGTGACTTCATTGGTGTCTTGCCAGGTGGGCTCACATCCGGGGATGTAGGACTGGAGCGCTGTCCTGGGCTTGTGGATCAACTGTGTCCGACCCTCTTGGAATTCTAAGGCTGCCGGTTGCCATTCAATCTGAAGAGGCACTTGGGGAGCCGGGAGGGCGGACATGGTGTAGGAGGAAGAATAATCTGAAGATGATTTGAGCACTAAAGATTATCTGTAACGGGGGCAGCCTATGTATCGCTAGAATCCAATAGAATAGATGCAGCCGTGCAAGATAGAAATCAGGTGCAGATTGATTCAAAGATACTATCGCTAGAACTCAATAATCTTTAAGGGCTCTGCTACCGATGATGGTGGAGAATTAGGACAGTTGGGCGGGAATGATCCTGAGTACTTATACTCCAAAGGATTCTATTCTATGCTCCTACTTCCTTACTAAGTTCCGGTGCCACCCTTCTAGCGGAAGGGAAGCAATACCATCGCTACCCCGCTTCTCTCTAAACGTCAGCGAGTGCTTCCAGTTCCGAAGGCAACCACCCTTAGTCAAGGCCTTTGTAACACCTGCAGCCTTGGTTGCCACACAACTGTGGCCTGCATGAATGAGCTGCCGCTCAAGTGTAAGCTTAATCATTACTGTAGAGCTTTCGCTTATTGTAGACTTCCCAGGCATAGTCCCTTTCCACTACCGGCGGACTTCCAATGCTCAGAGGATGTAGAGGATTGTCCAGTGCTCAGAGCTTCACTCTGGCTGGCCTTCTAATCATTGGCGAGGCACAGACTCGTCAGTCATTGCTCCCATGAGTAGATCCTCTTCCTAGCACTCAGAATGTAGTTACTCTGACAGCTGGTAGCTAACCACACTGCCGGTACTTGCATGTCACTGTGCAACTGGTTTCTAACAATAACTCTCAGCGTGTAACCGGGCCTTGTGTGTACTCATAAACCAGACAGTTGAAATGGCTCCGTTACAACTAGTGACCATAACAGTGGGGCACGAATTTAACTAGCTAATGATAATGCAGGACGGATTGTTGGGCCCTCTGGAGAGAATGAGAGATAGTCTAGGGTGAGGAATAGCACCAGGAGACCACTGAATGGCCTGATAAGTCCTTGGCAGAGAGTGTGAGAGGATGAGTTGGGCTCCTGACTCACTCCAATCATCTAGTGGTAATAAGTGTGAGGCTCGGTAAGACTTTTAAAAGGTTTTCTAGTAGGCTGAGACAACCCCTTGAGGTTTTGCGATACTACACTGGATGAAGAAACCCGTTCGGGGAGCTGTAGGCAAGAATCGCACCCCAGAGGATCTCTCGAGATACGGTGTAGTGATATCGAGCCTCCCAGAGGATTTAAAATTCACAGGAGGCCATCGTAGCGGCGTTGCGAGGCGTCGAGAGTATAACCGCCGGTAGGTATAATGAATGCAGGCTTCAGAGAGTGACAAGAGGGCGTACTTGAATATCGCGAGAGCCTTTCGAGCATTAGGGAAGGCCCAAAGCGCACCCGAACGGGCCAATGACCTCCAGAGAATTAAAGTTGGTGGGTTGTCTCCCAAGCCTCCGGTGTCTCCTGAAGACATGCACGGATTGCTGATGTGGCTCTGTTACACTTAGAATGTCTTGATGGATGGAGATTTCATGTTTCCACATTGACCATTTGGAACTCCAGTGGATTTACACTCTGCCATCATATACAGTAAGAAAGTTGCTGAGCATGACCGCAATTAGATGCGACAATGTAGGTCTGCATTGCAGGCTCTCCAATTATCTCTGGCTTTGGTCGGTTCTACTCCACCCCTGTAACAACCATAATATACAGTTCGCTAGAAATACTCTCCATTATTTAACCTACGCTTTATTTAACCTATGCTTGACCAAAATTCTGGTCGGCATTACTAGTAATACAGGATTTGAGGTTTGCCGGAACTCTCTAACATCCAGTATAACCCGTGCCGTGAGGCGAGTGATAGCTCAAGCTGCGGCCAATCGCGGCTACTGATATTAGGTATAATAACTCTCTTTCACTGCCAAGTCTCGGTCCACCGGAGAACTTTCACTAGTAATTCTCCTACTGATGAATAATAACTTTAAATTATCATCGCTTCCCGAGTTACATCATGATGGGTTCAACCACTTAACCCCCATTCCCTTGTTAGGGGCTCAAGTGCCCCGGAGAACTATAAATCCTACTAAATCTCACTCTCGATCGAAGTCACAATGCCCTACCCTACACTTTCACTGCGCAGCAAGGCTATCACCCCAACCCTTGACGAACATGAAATTTCTTCCCCCTCCCTCTTTTCCTTGTAAATTTTCTCGTTTTCTTCACCGCTCCTTCTCAACTTCAATCAATCGACAAGCATCATGGGGTTTTATCGGTTTAGGTCAAATGGGGTACCCAATGGCGAAAAACCTCCGAGCTAAGATACCCGCTGAAGACACCCTGGTCATTTTCGATATCAATCGGAGTTCGATGCAAAGGTTCTGTCAGGAACCAGATCTTGCTTCCAAGGGTGGTCTTACCGTGGCCAACGATATAAAAGAGGTCGTTAATACTAGCGTAAGTCCTAATCATTAGTTTCCTATTTATTTTCTGCCAGTTCCACCCCACTCATTTGTCTCGTGTGATGAGTATGTTCCGTAAATGACATTTCTAAGTCGGAGACTTCGTTCTGGAGTCTCTATTCATGATTTATTTACTACACATCAAAGCCAATCCTCTGAATATATACCGAGATAACTCTTCACTCAAATTACAACGGAATAGTTACTTTCATGCCGCTAACACCCTATCCATAGGACACGGTTATTACGATGTTGCCTGAGCCTCAACATGTCAAGTCCGTTTTCGATACAATTCTATCTTCCAACTTAGCTGGTAGATCCAATAACACGAAGCTTTTTGTTGACTGTTCAACCATTGACATTGCGACTTCTCTTGAGGTCGGGAAGGCTGTTCGCGATTCTTCCTCCTTCTGCGCCGATTTTGTTGATGCACCTGTTTCTGGAGGAGTCGTAGGCGCTCAGGCCGGCACACTGACGTTCATGGTCGGATCGCATGCTTCAACTTTCCCAATTGTAACCCCGTTATTATCACTTATGGGAAATCGCATTCTGCACTGTGGCCCGCCTGGCTCGGGATTGGCGGGGAAATTATCTAACAACTATCTCCTTGCAATCAGCAACATAGCTACCGCTGAGGCCATGAACCTCGGTATCAGCTTAGGTCTGGATAAAAAGGTTTTGAAAGATTTGATTAATGTCTCTTCAGGAAGATGCTGGAGCAGTGAGGTTAATAATCCTGTCGATATAGCGATTCGGGGATTTCAAGGAGGATTCGGAGTCTCCTTAATGAAAAAAGATCTAAAGCTTGCCATCAAGGCTGCCGAGGAAGTCGGGGCTAGGCTTGAACTAGGAGTGAAAGCGAGAACGGTTTACGAAAGTGTTGAGAATGACGATCATTGTAGAGGTAAAGATTTTTCCGTTGTTTATAGGTGGTTAGGCGGGAGAGAAGGAGAAGAAGACACTTGAACATGGCATCATGCCGCAGTATATAGATACATGAGTAATTTGGAAACTATTACAGCTCATTGGAGTGTAATTTGGAAAACACGCTGCAATGGTACAGAGAATAATCCTTCTTATTAAATTGAACCCAGCCAGATATGTACACTTATTCCAGCAAATACATGTAGTGATTATCTTCACTGCCGCTTTCGGAAAAGTAATGTCCTTATCGTAGAGTACTCTATCTAAGTATGGTTTTAACGGAGAGTGGTTTAATAGAGGATTAGTGGCTCAAGCGACTCCGCTTTAGACTTATTCCGTGACGTTCCCAGCTTGCTCTATGAACAGCTTCGTTTGCGGAATTCAGAATTTGTTTCGGCACTTCTCAGACACCATACGTTTTTCTGGTCGTGATCGCCAATGGTGTGGGCGGATGTAACGGAGTTTAGCATTCGCAGACAAGCGAGGCCCGGAAATTGCCATGTAGGTAGTGTTCAGTAGACACAGGTACGTACATCACCGTCGTCATGGCGATACTCTCATTGTGTTAGACTTGCTTCTACCCCACCATCCATTAACATCCCTAGAGCCTTATTTAACTGGATTTCTGGGTTTCTCTCCTAATTCCCTTGACTTTCACAATGGCATATCTGGCATCCATCCACAAGGCCAGCAGCGTAAGACATGCGGTCAAATCAAACTTCATATCCTCGGAGGAGCAGTCCTTGATTGTTGCGTATGGAATCCTTCAAGCCTCCGCTCTTAAAACCAGACCAGGAACCATACTAATCTTCGAGTAGAAAGTCCTCACGCATAGAAATATATTCCTTCGAAGGGGACGGACTTTCCCTCAAGTCACAGTTCCAAGTCTATGGGCGAATAACCGCACTACTTACATTGCGCCCAGTGGATTCTCCCACAGATCATCTGTTTGTAGCTTCAGACAATAGCAACTACCTCACGGTCTCTTGGGATCCTGTTCAAAAACGGGTCAGAAATGAGCAAGCTGCCTGCGATGTTTCGGACAAGTTCCTCCGAAATGCCCGATGTGGGCCTCTATACTTAGCAGATCCCGCGGGAAGGCTTTTGGGGCTACACGTCTATCAAGGAACATTCCTTTCCATACCTTTAATACAATCACCAAAAAAGATGAATAAAAAACAAACTAAATCCAGTGTGGTTGAATCGTCTAAGGATTTTGATACGGCTACTCCGATTAGATTTTCAGAATTGGATGTTGTCGATATGGCTTTTCTTCATGATACAGCAAATCCCGTGTTAGCAATACTATACAATTCTGCCCATCCAGGAGAAGTACATATGAAAACTTACGAAGTCACCCATAACGGGACAGAATTTAAAGAATGGCGTATGAAAGCAACATCTCTGGACGCCGAACCCACGATGTTGATTCCAGTACCAGGACCAGTTGGTGGACTACTAGTAATTGGGACGCAGATGTTCTGTTACTTCAATTCCGAAAACGAAACCCCCCTGAAACATATTTTGCATCAAGTTCGTTCATTTGTAACTTGGGGAGTAATTGATACCCAAAGGTATTTACTTGGAGATGAAGATGGGAAACTGCATATACTATTTATAGAGCTCCTGCGCGGTAGGGTACATGGTATAAAGGTGGAAGAGATTGGGCAGGTAAGGCAGCTCTCTTGAGAATACTTTGCTTTCGCTGCTGATCGAGACAGACTTCGGTACCAAGCCGATTAGTATACCTAGATAATGGCCACTTATATGTGGGATCTCACAGCGGTGATTCTCAACTTGTTCGATTATCTTCCGAGGAACCGAAGGTGCAGGTCATCGAGACTTTCACCAACCTAGCACCTATCACAGATTTCAGGGTCGCTGATATGAATTATTCGGGTTCTGAAAACCAACAGCAATATTCATCTGGACATATGAGAATTGTATCATGCAGTGGTGGTTTCAAACAAGGGTCATTGCGGAGTGTCAAGAGCGGGGTTGGAATGGAGGATCTTGGTATTCTTGGAGAAATGGTGGGCATTAGGGGATTATGGGGGCTAAAATCTACTCCGGGAAATCAGTAGGTCAAGAATTCTATTTGATTGGGCACAGTTAACACATCTTCAGATTTGATGATATCCTAGTAGTATCATTCATTGATGAAACTAGAGTATTCCAGTTTCATCAGGATGATGACCCGGAGGAGCTGGAACGTTTTGGGGCGTTTTCCCTCGATGAGAGAACCCTTATTGCTGGAAATGTCGTCGATGGCAAACTGCTCCAGGTTACCCCTTCCAGTGCACGATTAATCAATACGGGATCTGGAGAAGTTGCGTCCCAGCTGGACCTGCGCGGCAAAGGCATAATTAACATGGCAAGCGCAAATGAGGATACTTTAATTTATGTTATCAATGGTTCGACGCTCTTTGCCGTCGATCTCAAGGCCAATCTCAAAGAGATCGGCACGCGCTCATTCTCTAATGAAATATCATGTCTCACTATTCCTATATCATCCTCTACAATATGTGCTGTTGGGCAATGGACAACATCAGCTGTCTCGATCCTCACCCTTCCAGGCTTGGAGACACTCTCCGAGGATATTTTAGTAAGAACAGAGAATGCTGCTATTCCGAGATCACTGTTACTTGCGAGGATTCTTCAGGACCAGCCACCGACATTGTTGGTGGCAATGGGTGATGGAACCTTATTTACCTTTTCAGTACATGAAGAAAGCTTCTTGCTTTCACAGAAAAAAAGCATAGTTTTGGGTACGCAATCAGTTTATTTCCAACCAATACCCCTTGGGAATGGTCTTGTGAATGTTTTTGCAACCTGTGATCACCCAAGTCTCATTTATGGGCTGGAGGGAAGGATTGCATACTCAGCAGTTACAGCAGACAAGACAACCCATGTGACTCCTTTCAATGCTCATGGGTTCCCTAATTCTGTTGCTGTGGCCACTGAAGACGACCTTAAACTTGCTGTTCTCGATTTTACACGGTCCACGCACGTAAGAAATCTTCCAACTGGCGATGTCGTCCGACGCGTGGCGCACTTAAAGACTCGAGACGTATTTGGGGTTCTCACGATCAATTTATATCAAGATTTGACAACTGGTGACGAGCAATTTAGATGTTATGTCAGAGTTGTCGATGGTATCACGTTTACCATGATAGATTCTTACGAACTTCAGGAGGCAGAGCTGATAGAGAGTATCATGTGTGCTAATCTCTCCAATGGCGATGAAACATTTTCGGAAAGGTTTATTGTGGGTACTGGATTTCAAGAAGAATCCAAAGATGAGACTGCTCGGGGAAGAATCCTCGTTTTTGAACTGAGTGACGATAGGAAACTCAAGCTAGCGGCTGAGTTGGTTGTTCGAGGCTCTTGCAAAGGGCTTGAGCTGGTGAATGGCAAGATTGTTGCGGCCTTGAATAGAACGGTGCGCCGCTTGCGCAATTTGTAGCGATCTAAAACATTCGAAGCAAATGCTAATTTATACATATAGGTTGAAATGTACTCCTGGGAGTCCCCACTCAGCTTGAAGCCTAAAATCGTAAAGATTGCCAGCTACCGTACACACAGCGAGCCTATTGATTTAGGGGTTCGCGATAATATGATAGCTGTTGGGGATCTTATGAAAGGCCCCTCACTCTTAGAATATTCGAGCCAGAACGGCACAGATTACAAACTTGACGAAGTTGCACGGAATTATCAGACCTTGTGGACAACGGCAATCGAGTTATGGGACAAAGAGACAATTATTTGTGGGGACGCAGAGGGAAATATGTCTATTTGGAGAAGAGATGTCAATGGGGTGACAGATGAAGACCAAAAACGTCTTCAGTTAGTTGGAGACATTAGGATTGGAGAGATGGTCAACCGGATTAGGAAAGGTGAGCCGTTAACGCCATTCACTTTCTCAATCACCGGAGTATTATTATTAACCCTTCTTCACTAGCAGTGGACGAAAATGTATTGCCTGGAAGTGTAGTCCAGCCAAAGGCATATTGTGCAACGGTAACCCATCCAGTCGGTTCATTTACTGTTACATTGTAGCTTATGATGTCTTTTATATAGGTCGATGGGTCGATATACCTCCTGGGAGAGATCGATTCGGAGTACTTGGACCTATTAATGCAGCTGCAATCAAACATGGCAAAAGTTATCAGCGGTGTTGGCGATCTGGATTTCAATAAATTTCGAGCTTACTGGTCGCCTAACCGTAGCTCCGAGGAACCTTTTAGATTCGTTGATGGTGATTTTGTCGAAAGATTCTTAGAATTGACAGACAGGGATGCTGAAAGGGTTGTCGATGGAGTTGGGAAGAAGACCGATGGTTTATCAAAGGGGGTAGATGAGATCAGAAGCTTAGTGGAGAGTCTGAAAAGACTACATTGATGATGTTGGCTTCTTCGCAGAAAGCATACGTAATGAGTCGTTGTTTGTGTGGAGGACAGGTCTGTAAAAAATAGCTTAAAGAACATTCCTTTCCTCCAACATCGCTTTTCATTCGTTGAGATATTTTGAGTTTTGGTAAAGATATATCTGGCATTTTCAGTGCAGGAATAATTAGTGGATTGTAAGTGTGTTCGGATTCTGAGCCCAAAATTTGAAAGCCAGTCATCAACACATAAGTCCCCACTGTCCATGATCTACAGGCTACCTTGTATTGTAAACTTCAAACTACAGGATTCTATGTTCGTAGATGTTTGAAGTTTGAACACTTCAAACAGTCCAGGGAGGGAGGCTCTCCAGCCCGCCTGCATGCGCAGAACCTACTTTATTCGTACCTCGTTATCTCTTAAGCTGTCACCACAATTCTGGCCGCTCCTGATTTTCTTATCGTTTATCAACCCCCCACCAATCATTGTCCCATACTAGTTACTTTTCTTTCCTTTTGTTGAGATGGGGGTCGATAAAAGAACATTCTAGAGAAAAAAATGTTTACATATACAGTTGCGCCTCGCTATGGCGGAACTCAATATCCCGAATCCCTTGCTGTCCCGTATGAAATTTCTTGAGAATTCTATTTTTCTACTGCAAAATCAATTTGCTATCCCGAATTTCTTGGGAATATTTGCTATCCCGTACAAGATTTGGTGAATCTTGGCCATCCGGCATAGCGAGGTGCGACTGTATCGTCATAACCTCCGGTTTTCACTGTGGCTTCTGGAGTAGTCAGTGCCCCGAATATTGAGACAGAGGGGGTCGCGGGTGGAATGGTACAAAGTTACCTATCTAAATTTAGTTCAATGATTATTCAGCTAAAATCCATCATTTTCCGGCGTAATCCCTGGCGGTCATTCCTTGGCACATATCACTTCGTGCGTTTTCACGACCGGGAGCTAGTAGGCAACTTTTACTCGGTAGTACTCGGGTACAGGAATAAGAACCAAGTGACGATACAGGGATTGTTTGTATGGAGTGGCGCCGCTCTGCCATACAAATAAACCTATTGCATTTTCTGGTTCTTTCTCCCATACCCGAGTACACCTAAACCTAACTCTCACCTCGTGAACCTCTTTTGCTGTGAAGTCACCTTCTGTGACCCCTCCGATACCTATTCTGGTGTCTCCACATGAATCTGTAGGTAGCTACTCACGCGTTTAAATGGTCGGAATTCTTAGTTGCAACGATATCCGACCATTTAATGAACGCCCGAGTAGATTTTCTGAATATCACCACGCCGTCGTGGGCCTAATATGTCTCCCTTTTTGCTCTGACGAACGGAGGGATGTAGTCTTCACATAAGTCTATCTTGTAGTGACTTTAACTATGCACATTCCTTTCATAATGAAAAATAAATAAAAAATCTCTATCATCGATACTTTTTGGGTTTTTTTACTACTTGCTCTGTCTACATGTACCTAACGGTGACTTCTTGCGTGAAGAACGAACGGTTACCTTATATTCAAATGATACTAAATGCATTCTTTTGACAATCAAGGTTTACGCGGTCAAGGTTAGGTCTATCGGAGGATTATTTATGAGAAGCTATGCTTGACCGGTTTAGTCTTCTTAGATAGTGCCAGGTCACGAAGGATAGATACGGCTAGGTGGGGGAAGCCTTGTCACGGAGTACTAGCAAAGTCGCTTATTAACTTGGTCACGTGGAGAGTGGTGAGAGGTAGCGGATCTTTGAGCACCTCTAGCTCCAAAAGCACGTGAGCAATATAATATACGACATTGCTAGTAGTTTGGACACCTCAACTTTGACCGCTTATAGCTCATCAACCACCACACATAATTTTAATTTTATTAGATGGATCTACTCAGTTTTACCTGCTCTATCATTCTATCTGCTCCGACTTTTGAAATCATTCTTCGTTGTTGAGTTATAAAAATATTTTTGCTGGGACAATGTCGCTTGTATGGTCAAAAAAAGTACTTTTCCTTGTCCTAGACCACTCTTAGCACGTAATTTGTATGTGTTAGTAAGCAAAATCAATGTCGCAGCACTCCGTGTCAAGGTTTCCCCCACTCAAGGATTACACTAAGGGATAAGAACTGATAAACCTCCTTCCTTTCTCCTTCATAAAATACCAAAAAAAAGATCTACTTTCGCAGGGAATATTTAATTTACCATGAATGCAAAAGCATCCCTCAGAATCGCCGTCCTTGAAACAGGCTATCCGCCAGAAAGAGCTGCTGCTAAATATGGCAATTATGGGAGTCTTTTCACAAGATTTCTCGAAGCTAGTGTGGCAAAGCTCGCTACACCAGAATTCCCCAGTCTCGAAGTCACCAAGTGGGATGTTCAGAAGCTTGAGCAGTACCCGTCTTTGGATGATATAGATGCGATCTTAATGAGCGGATCGGGTATGTCACCCACTATCTCATACATCCTACTCACGCGTTAAGTTCTGAGAATTCTTGGTAGCAACGACCTCACAAAATTTCTCAGGACTTAATTAACGCGCGAGTACATCCTTTGAAGAATCCAGTACTAATTATAGCGGTGTTTATATAGCCTCGTCTGCATTCGATAATGCACCGTGGATCATCAAGCTTGTTGAGTTCACCCGTATGGTTCTCATAGAACAAACTCGTGTCCGTATCATAGGCATATGTTTTGGACACCAGATTGTTGCACGCGCACTCGGTGTTAAGGTGGATCGGGGCGCGCAAGGCTGGGAGGCTTCAGTTCTACCGATGCAGCTATCACCCCTCGGGAAAATAATATTTAGTGGGAGAGATACTTTGGTAAAGTTTTCCTAGGACTACTTCGCAGTTCTCTTAAAACAACCTATAAATGATGCATCATCAGTTCACTAATTCAAAACAGAATCTACATCAGATGCATAGAGACATTGTAACTGAACTACCCGAAGGGGTCCAACTTCTTGGATCTACACCCGTGTGCGAAATCCACGGCATGTACGCACCAAAGCGTCTTATCACAGTGCAAGGTCACCCTGAATACAACAGTGAAATTGTCAGTGAAATTCTGCAATTGAGGAAATCCGTCGGCTTAATTTCTCAGGATATGTTTGAGGAGATGATGTCTAGAGTCAACAATAAACATGATGGTTTAGAGTTTGGAGTGGCAGTTCTAAAATTTTTGAATGAGTAAGATAGAATCTATTCACCTCTATCAGAAACAACCCCCACCCTACATGCATGTAATTAATTCAGTAAGGTCAAAAATAATTTTCAAACAAACTGCAAATTCATTTTAATACTCACCTGAAACGACCATTCATACATCGAAAGTACTCACCTTGCCAACATTAAATTGCCGCTTATCTAATACTTTCACTCAGTTTAAGAGCATTTTCTACCAAGTTTTGCTTGGTAAGCGGCAATTTAATTCTGGCAAGGTGAGTACAAACAATATAACCTAGGACATAATATTCTTCTAGTGTTTTTTAATTGATTGATTCCGAGACTTTTCGTCCCAGTTCAATTCCTTGAGGGATCGCCGTCCTACATAAATTTCACTACAAGGCCGCCCTACCCTATAAGCAAAAGTCAAGCAGAGTTTAGTATCTAAAGAGTGCCAGTTTGTATGCAAATAATGAATTAACCCCCCCCCCAAAAAAAAAAAAAAAAAAATACGCCAATTGCGGTTCAGTTTCCAGAGTTAGATACGTGTACTACGGCTGCAACCCGATTCGCTGGTTTTACCTAACCTTAACGTATAACCAAACGATAGATACAGTTCAACCCTGGGGAAATCAACTGACTCTCAAAATGGGCATTAACTGATGAAAAGAGAAAAAAAAAATGGGGAGGGGGTTACTAAACGGGTCTATTCATGACTGAGGAAAGGTCCTGATTGCAGAAGTTAACTTCAACTGGCCATGAGCTAAAATTGAGCTAAGGCAGACAATGGACTAGATGTCCGAGAGGAGTGAGGTTAGATCACAGATATCTACCAGATAAATATACTCACTATTAATAGCTAACTAGTGTAGACCGTACAGATTTTGGAAGAATTTATCCTGAATAGGTGATTTCGCGCCACAATAGACACAGGTGCTCAATAAATGCTTAGTAATGTGCGAGTGATGTAGTATGAATGACGTCGAGGGTTATCCCTTCAACGGTCAGGCCAGCCCGATCAAAAGGCCGACTACTAGCCGTATACAGCAGATATAATACAGTGGACTCTAAGGGTGAATTAAGCCTTTTAATACTGCTCGCCACGAACTAAGGGTAGTCCCAGCGTGAGGGTATATCCTCAAAATATCATACCTGCTGCACTTATATGCATGCGCAGCTCCAAGTCGGCCTTTTTGATTGAGCCTGACCGTGTACGTGCATGGAAGGGGTATATTCCACCTCCTCTAATTATAATCATATGCTGACTCACATGCGTAGACTTTACCTACTGCTGCTGCTGCTTTTCTAGAAATCCTATCTGGTATATATTTTAAGTTAGCGCGCGGTAAGAATTTTAATCGAGCTCTTACAACCACATATATATACGTACCTTACAACACTACGACTAGTGTACTATCCTGGCCCCTGGTAGTGGTAATAACTAGTCTTTAATTGGACAGTAAACCTAAAACCAGTGTACTCGGCGAGGCAGATCGCGACCATGTCTCGAGGTCCTTAAGTCAAGCAAGGACATGAATGCGGCTCGAAATATGCTAGACAAAGCTCCTCGCCTCAAGCAATTATATATGGGGTTTAGTAAGACCAAAAGGTAAACGACAATAGTATTAGGGATTGATCGAGTCCAATTGTGCGTAATACTATGCATGCACCCTACAAGTTAGTTTAAGTTATGTATGTATAACTACATGTAGTATTATACGTGTAATAAGTCATATATGTCAGCTCTCATGACGGGTCTAGAGTATTTATGTATATATAAGTATGGATTTTACCTTTTATATCAGCAAAAAATGGGGTCTCGTCTTGTGACGCCTGGGGGCCCCAGATGCCCCAGATGCCCCAAGACTTTTGCTTACCTGTAGACCGAGGCCTGGGCGCCCCGTGACGAGAGCCCTGCATCTTTCATCAAAATACATACTCAAGATGCAAATCACATTGTTTCGTTCCAAGACTTCATCTCGACGTCTCATAATGAGTTCATCTCAAAGTCCTGACAGCTAAAGTTGTAATTTCTATTACTGTTACGGGGACAGTCTTTTTATATAACGCTAGAATCCAATAGAATAGATGTGGCTGTGCAAGATAGAAAATCAGGTTGCAGGTTGTTCAAAGATACTATCGCTAGAACTCATTAATCTTTGAGGGCTCTGCTACCCAATGGAGTACTTGATAACTCTGGTGAAAACTGGAGAAATCGGGTAGTTGGGCGGGAAGGATCCTGAATACCTATACTCCAAAGGACTCCATTCTCTGCTTCTACTTCCTTACTAAGTTCCGGCGATGGCTTCTTGCAGAAGAGAAGCAATATCACTGATACCCCACTTCTCTCTAAACGTCAGTGGGTGCTTCCAGTGTAACGGCAGTATTACAATTGGGCTAAGGCGATAGATTGGATCATAAGGAGGAGGTATCGCGCAGTTGAATTAGGATTGGTAATGGGGTTTCAGTTATGTTCTTTCAGTTTCTGTTACGCGGGGCATTAGTCAGCAATGGACCAGGAGTTGTATATATAAGAGGGCGTTGTCTCGTGCCTTTTAATGTTTTCCTTCCTTTCCTCTTTTCTTCACGCAACCTCCTGTACTTACCCTCGCAACACCAAAACTTTCGAACAACAAAACTTTTGGCCTGCACTTTCGAGAAAACTTTTACTCGAACACGATCCTGTATGTCAATAGACTCTGTAATCTATTGGTATCTTATCGCACATCTGTTCGTACGCGGAGTTATTCACGCTCTAGTTCCTGAGTTGTGAACCCTCACCTACTCAAACCCTCGCTTAAGCCTCGCGACCGCAGCGAAAAACAACAACCTGGCCTCACCAAACCCACCCAACCCACCAAACATCGCGGGAAGAAAGAGAACCTTATCAGAAGTCTTTCCCAACCCAACCCGAACTGGAACATCAGTAATGTCCCAACAAGCCTCCTTGAGCTCCTGGTTCGCAGGAGCCCCCCCACCAGGAACACCGGCACCCCCCCGCTTCCCTGACACCCAATCAACCCAACAAACACAGTCCACCACAGTGGAACAAACCCAACTCGACAACAAACCTTTTTCTATCTTCGCCAAACGCACCCAATACAATGAACCATACGCACCAAAATACGACTACATCCACCCCAGCATCGTCCCTGATGAAACCCACGCCAGAATGGACCTAAACTACGTATCCTGGGTAGTCAGAAACGCCCTCACCGTAGCGCTCGAACCTATCAACCAAACAACTGAGAAAATCAACAAGGGCTTAAAAGCTACCATCGAAGTCCTATCCGTCCAAAACGAATCCCTCAAACACACCGTCGATATCCTGGGTAAACAAATGTTTGAAATGACAAAAAACCAGGACAAAACTTTCGAAAAACTCCACCGCCTCCAACAACAGCTCACCAACCTCTCCGTCAACAGGCCCAGCAACCAAGCTGTCACTGAAGGAAAAACCTCCGCAATTGCCGCCGTTGCTGCTGCCACCATCACTGCCCCCACCACACCCGCCAACAACCCCAACCACCCCAACCACCCCCAACAGCGAAAAGGGAAAGCACTGACTCCACCGGCACTAAAATCTTATGCGTCCGCCGCGGCAGGAAACACGAATCTCGAATTTACGACCGTCACCAACAAGAAGAAAAACAAACCCAAAGCAGACCCCCTTTTCAAACCTGAAATCACCAAACTCAACCGGGAAATTGTAATCGAAACAAGCAAAGAACCCTCAGTCACCCCATCGGACATCAGAGCCAAAATAAACGCAAAAATCCAGGACCCCGACTGTCAACTAATCGCCGCCCGGAAAACAACCAAAACAACATAATCCTGGAATCAAAATTCGCAACCCCAGCAACAAAGATCCTAGAATATAAAAAGGAAATTGAAACCGCCCTAAACGAACTAAAAGTATCCTTCGTCGACATCCGGGTTAACTCCAGATGGTCGAAATTCATTCTCCATGGCATCCCTACCTCCATAGGGGAAGCATATGATGCAGGACAATTTCTGGCCTCGGAACTCAGAAACAATTACGGCAACACCTTCGAACTGGCACAAATCCCGAGATGGTTATCAAAACCAGAAGTCAGAATTGGGAAATCCCACTCCTCCATGATCATCGCCCTCCCCGGACAATTTACCAAAGAAAACCTCGGCCTCCGGTACCTCACCCTCTTCGACAGAAAGTGCAAAATTGACAGCTACCTCCCTGCAAACCCAGAAACCCAATGCGCCAAATGCCTTGAATACGGACATAGGCAAGAACGCTGCTCCCACACCAACGGAAGATGCGGACACTGTGCCGAGGAACACCAAACCAAGGACCACCCATGCACAGAATGCGCCGGAGGCCTTAGATGCTCACACACACCCATCCGATGCTACCATTGCAAGGCTCTCCACAAAGCAACAGACGCCAACTGCCCAGAACGAACCAAAGTCCGAATCACAAACAGACTCGGACCGGACACAAACCCAAGCCCGCTACCAATTCCCGTAGTTATCCCGGCCCAAGACCCCCCACAAGAAGACGCAGCCATGGATAACACCCAATGAGTCACATCAAAAGAACCACGGCTAGCGCACGGCAACTGAACTGTGCGAAAAATGAGCTCACAACAAAGTCAGTAGTGGAGGAAGCAGAACAGGACCACAACATACTTTTTCTTTTGTTACAGGAACCATGGAACAACAAGGACGGCCACCCACCGGAATCCCCTCTTTTCTATCTATTCACGGCCAGCAATAAGGGCACCAAAGCCGCCACATATATCAGAAAACACGCCAACCTAAAACCAAAACACCATTACACACACAATAACTTCATCATCTCCGTCACGGTGGAAATCCAGAACCAAAAGACACAAATCTTCAACATATACTCACCAGGGCGAAGCGGACCCTTCACAGAAATCTCCCGCCAGATAATCACCATCCAAAACTGCCTCGTCATGGGAGACTTCAATAGCCACCATCAACTCTGGTATGGACACAGATCCCATGACTATACCAACACAATCA